TATGTAATATTCATATTACATATGAAATATTGAAAATAAACGTGCATATACATATTTGCACATACATTTTACACATTTCTTCATGCTTTGATAAAAACCATGTTTTCGGTTGAACAACTGTTTCTTTCAGTGTTTACCGACCGAAAAATTCATCAATGAAATTACTAACATAGTTCATCTTCATCGTTATCGAACTCGATAAAATTTATATCTGAACCACTTTTTTTCATTTTTTTTTTTTTTTCATTTTTATAAATGATACGTTCAAAATATGCTTTGAAACTACAATTTCAAAAAAACAAATCAAGTGTTTCTACTGCAATTTTATATTTTATATAAATGCTTGTATTTTATTTTCATCTTTCGCTTCATCGTCCATTGCGATTAACGATTGAAAACAAACTACGTATGACGATTGAAGATATACAGCTAATTCTGTTTTTACACGATAGATACGTTCCCGAAGAATACGTGTAAAAAAAATTCGTGTGAAAAATATTGCATCTGTGGAAAAATAGAAGATTGGTTCGAGTCCCAAGAAATCAGCAAAAATAATACAATAAACCATGAGTTTTCATGTTAGGATCTTAAACATTTTATTTCATAAAGATTGCACATGTATCATACAAAGTAAATTATCATTTGAAAAGGAAAAAAACATGTCACTAATTCATGAACACAAAAATTAGGCAAGATAATATGAGTTACACGTAAAAAGATTTTATCCGTTGTCACTTTCTGACAATAATCGCATACGTTTGCGTAAGACTGCAATATTACTGCTATCACTAGAAACGTCTTGGTTATCGTCTTCGTGCTCCATTGGTGAAATTCTTTCTGTAATCTCTTGAACAAAATTAGGACTAGCCTCCTGTGGTGCCGATGTTTCAGTGGATTTAAGAACGAATACAGTAATTAATCGTTGTGTTTGTGTTTTGGCTTACAACGTCTCTGAGGCGATATTATAGGCTAAAGGGTTAATAAAACAAAGGTTTTAAAACTATAACTTACCATTTATTGACTTTAACGCAAAATTAATTCCTCGTCTCCAATGTCGCAGTTATAAAAATAAAAGTAAAGCAAAATTTTCTTCTTAGAATTTGGGTCGATCGTGTTAAATTAAAATAAGTCGTGTAAAAAGAGAATTAAATTTTTTCCTAATTCGTGTTAAATCAAAATTGTGTTAAAGAAGTTCGTGTAAAAACAGAATTGGGTGTACTGCCCGTCCGTGAAAAGAAAGCAGGTAAGTGTTTACATCCTCACTCTAGTTACAATTCACTAACTCTCCAACTGTCACAGGCATTAGTTGCTATTGGCCGAAGACGGTGACAAAGAATAACGACAGTCATTTCGTCTGAAGTGGGGATATAAACACTCACCTGCCTTCTCGAAAACGACCAGTAGTTTCTACTGTTTTCGCTCCGCCCTTTACCGTTGAATTTCGTTTAACTTTCGTACTATCGCACACATGCGTTCAATCCAATTTTCTTTCGGAGATATTAGATTCGGAGTAATTTTCACAGAAAAATTACTCGTTCCGATGTCACAGACAGAAGCAAATATAACTTTTACAGTCTAATACTAATATAAGATATGTGCCAAATACTTACGTGACAGATTGTACATTTACGCAAGTATTAATAAAAATAAAATAATAAAAAGATAGATATTAGATGTGGTCTTCTTACCGCTTCTAACTTCGTCTTCGTGACGAAAGAGGACGTGATGCATCCTTTTTCCACGAGAATTATGCAGACCAAATTGTATGCTTAAGGCCCTCTGTGTAACATAGATTGTTACATCTTCTTATCATACATTCTTTTATTAATAATGCTAGATACATGTACTATGCATGCCTTGTGAGAAGCCCTAATTGATCATACTGGAAGGGAGGATCCATTCAACACACATTTTCAGTTCTAAACGAATCACTTACTAAAATGACCACACCAGTTCAACTGTGTAACGAAGACTGTCTATGAGATGGATAGATCGAGTGATTAATATACTCATTTTGCTCCTATACCGCTTTGCGAGACTTCTTGTGAATCACGCATAGTATATTGTATTGAGAAAGTCATAAAATCTCAGATCACTTTTCTTACAAATGGCAGAACAATACACGTATTTTGTTATTGAAGAGAAATGTCAAAGTGGAACTAAAAACTGACGAGGATTAATCAGATTCTATAATTGCGAGACCACAGTTTCATTACACATCCACAGAAAGAATTAATTATATAGCAGGTTGAAGCACGTAACCTGCAATATGCAACAGTAAAGCACGTTGAAGAATCGGGACGCTAGATTCGTAATAAATTTGTTTATTGGTGACAACACTTAGGCAGTTCTCGCCCTAATCCGTCTGACTTTACTTCACTTGGCAAACACTTGACGAATAGACCACTGACAAAGACTGTCATAATCCATCCATTTTGTAAGAAACTACCTATCGAGGTAAAATCTCCTCTTCCAGTTCCAAAATTCATTCCTCTACAACACAAGATGAACCAATAGGAAATTTCTCTGAAAACGTATCTAGACGTTCAGAATACATCGATTGACAGAATCATGCAGAATTCAATCGACGACAAAATAAGAAAGAACGCAATCAATGACAAACTAAACGGACTCTACAGAATTTGACAAACCAGAAAATCACCCTGTCTCAACTAGGCCTGTGTGATTAAATCCATTAACACTAGAACTACCGATTTTTAATGGGTACCTCAACGTAGCGGGTGTTAAACTTTGAAATACCTTTTCCGCCGTATTATTATTCTCATTGGAAAAATACCATATTGCCAACCTCGTACCCCAGATAAAACACGACGGGACATCGACATTTGATCACCATATACGTTAAATACCTAGCACATGGGGTAATAATTCGTATCACTTTCCCGAAAACTGTTTGTAACCCCTTTTCTTACACCTCAAAATTGGCAACTTCCATCATTTATATTAACCAATAAAAAAATACGTAGTCCTACCAAGGGTACTTATGAACTTTAGACTTTGTAGTATTCTCGAAAGTAACACAAGACAACAAGTAGGATCAAGTCAAATCTCGTACAGCATACAGGGTAAGTAAACTCTCGTAGAGCACAACATAGTAACAAGTCGAATCTCGAAGATACATGTAGGATCGGTTTGGGTGAATGGGCTAAAATAGTACCATATTGCCAACCTCGTACCCCAGATAAAACACGACGGGACATCGACATTTGATCACCATATACGTTAAATACCTAGCACATGGGGTAATAATTCGTATCACTTTCCCGAAAACTGTTTGTAACCCCTTTTCTTACACCTCAAAATTGGCAACTTCCATCATTTATATTAACCAATAAAAAAATACGTAGTCCTACCAAGGGTACTTATGAACTTTAGACTTTGTAGTATTCTCGAAAGTAACACAAGACAACAAGTAGGATCAAGTCAAATCTCGTACAGCATACAGGGTAAGTAAACTCTCGTAGAGCACAACATAGTAGCAAGTCGAATCTCGAAGATACATGTAGGATCGGTTTGGGTGAATGGGCTAAAATAACATTGTTTTAATTCTTGATAAGATACAATAAGCTTATACGTAGATTAACAGCTATGAAACAAGAGGTTACTCGGTATGGGTACGTTCGACTTTGACTTCTTACT